TCTTCAGTGGACAGATTTCTCATTGATGCGGGGCTGCCATCTTAATTGCCTACTGTGAACAACAGTATTTGCATGGACGCGGGTCGACAAACCTGTTATTCTGCCTGCGATCGACTGATTCATGCAAATGGGAGTAAAATCAAGCTTGTTGCTCATGGCAACCAATCACATACCTATTTCATTCTCCCATAATGCCGTGGGAGGGGGTCAAATGGCGAATTTATTTTCTTTAATCAGCGTCAACGGTTCTTTATCCAGACCTGTAAAGCTCAACTCCAACCAAACGTCTTAGTTGTCAGTGGAGAGGGTGCACTCCCATGTATCTTATAGGTGTAAGGGGGACTCTGCTGGGCACACATGGATGTAAGGGGGACTCTGCTGGGCACACATGGATGTAAGGGGGACTCTGCTGGGCACACATGGATGTAAGGGGGGCTCCGCTGGGCACAGGTGGATGGAAGGGGGGACTCTGCTGGGCACAGGTGGATGGAAGGGGGGACTCTGCTGGGCACAGGTAGATGTAAGGGGGGACTCTGCTATCATACACTGATTATGTTTTTCTCAATCATTTTTCTCATCCAGTCCCGCAAGCTGAATGAGAAAATATCACTTGATTCCCTCCATTAAACCGCATGGATAGGAGAATCCCATCCCAAGCTATTTGGCTGCAGTCACTGTTTGGCTGAGAAATTTGGACTGTCTCCTTCAACCAAAGCTGTTTTGAAACATTGACTTTTGTTGAAGGGAGGGGGGCTGACCGTGCCACACACAGTCAGCAGGACTAGGTGTAACTTTGACCAATATATGGCCAAATTATTATGCAAACTCACATGAAGAATAAAAACATGCACAAAGTAAACCTTTCAGTAACTTTACATGTCTGTATAAATAAATTGCCAACATGTCCAATGAACAGTAACAGTATTTTTTGCACTGTATCTAAAAAGCCATCCCTGATCTGCCAAGTGTCAGTGCACACCAAATCTGGACCAGATCTGCATGAGGTTCTGCATATGTAGTGCAGTGCGTTTTGATGTGTGTTTTGCCGCATTCCAGTCTCTCTTTCTTTTGTCAATTTTTTTTGTTTTTAGCCTGAAATAGGCTTTCAGTGTGTTCCAGGGCGTTTGCATGTGTTTTTGGTGCTTTCTGGAGCAGAAGAAATAGGGCATGCTGCAGTTATTCCTCATGCTCTGGAACTCAACGCTGTGGTGTGAACTAGAGCCCAAAATACCATTGGAATACATTGGATGCATTTTTGATAGTTCTGTAACTGCTCTGCTTCTGCTCCGCACTTGGCGTGAACAAGCCCTCAGATTATGCCATTAGTCTGCTGCAGGGAGGCTGAAGCATTTCCTCAGTCTCCTCTCCTCCAGTAATAGACTGCAATAATGTTACTTGGCAGCAGCTCAGAAGGTGAGAGGCTGCAGCAGAAGGTTCAGTTGTATCAGACATTTGTGAACACAGCCAAGAACTGCACAGGCATCAGGATTTACATGATTGCCTCATGTCTGAGGGCTTGTTCACACCAATTGCATTCCGTTCCAGAGCAGGAGCTGCTGGAACGCATCGCAATCGCTCACAAAACTTCCTCCTGTGTTCTGAGGCGGGGGGGGGGGGGGGGGGAGCGTGGTTGCATTAAATTCAATGGCACTGCAGCCCCCGCGCGCAGTGCGATCAGACGCGTGGCAAACATTGCCTGCGTTCCGTTCCACTGCAAACGCAAAAAATAGAGCATGCAGCCTTTCCTCCGTTTGCAGTGGAATGGAACGCAGACAATGTTTAGTCACACGTCAGATCGCACTACGGACGGGGGAGGCGTGGCTGCAGTGCCAATGACTTCAATGCACCACCACCGCCCCAGAACGAAGGGGGGAGTTTTGTGAGCGATTTCGGTGCGTTCCAGCAGCTCCCGCTCTGGAATGCAACACAATTGGTGTGAACAAGCCCTAAGCTGGCATCTCAGTAAGCAGTCCCTGGATGATGTCTGAAAATAGCGCCGTCCTTCTGGAAAGCAAAGCAGATGAAGGTATTGTCAGGGGGAGCACTGTGAACTCTGCAAGAGGTAATGCATACTGCAATTAGTACACAATACATAATAAGAATGCACTAAATGTGATAAAACATATACCTGATGCTAGGTCCGCTTTAATCTAAATATCAGCTCAGGCCGTAGGAAAGAAAGGTTTTGAGGTATTACAAAGCACG